CCAACTTCATGTTTTTTTTAACCTTTTCCAATCCTCTACTTTTCTGGTTTCACGTCTTCTCCTGCCTGAACGTCACAGTACGAGATGCTGCCTCTGACCTCTCCAAACCCTCGCTACTGATCTACTGTTCACAGTATCTGGCCCTGGTCCTGACCTTCCTTGGCCTTTACTGGCCTCTGGCCCTGACCTTCCTTGGCCTTCACTGGCCTCTAGCCCTGGTCCTGACCTTCCTTGGCCTTTACTGGTCTCTGGTGCTGGTCCTGACCTTCCTTGGCCTTCACTGGCCTCTGGTGCTGCTCCTGACCTTCCTTGGCCTTCACTGGTCTCTGGTGCTGGTCCTGACCTTCCTTGGCCTTCACTGGTCTCTGGTGCTGCTCCTGACCTTCCTTGGCCTTCACTGGTCTCTGGTGCTGGTCCTGACCTTCTTTGGCCTTCACTGGCCTCTGGTGCTGCTCCTGACCTTCCTTGGCCTTCACTGGTCTCTGGTGCTGGTCCTGACCTTCCTTGGCCTTCACTGGCCTCTGGTGCTGGTCCTGACCTTCCTTGGCCTTCACTGGTCTCTGGTGCTGCTCCTGACCTTCCTTGGCCTTCACTGGTCTCTGGTGCTGGTCCTGACCTTCCTTGGCCTTCACTGGCCTCTGGTGCTGGTCCTGACCTTCCTTGGCCTTCACTGGCCTCTGGTGCTGGTCCTGACCTTCCTTGGCCTTCACTGGCCTCTGGTGCTGCTCCTGACCTTCCTTGGCCTTCACTGGCCTCTGGTGCTGGTCCTGACCTTCCTTGGCCTTCACTGGTCTCTGGTGCTGGTCCAACACCTAACCTTAGACTCGCTGGTCGCCCCGGAGAACACACCGTCCAGGAACATTGTCGTATACATTAAGTCCTTCCTCAGTGCTTCCGGCGTCTTATGAGACTCACAACGCCAGCCTGAATTGTCAGAGACCTCGCCGTGGGAAATGATGTAGCGTGGGCCCTGGTCCAGCCACAGTGGTGGGTCATAGTCCAGCCACAGTGGTGGGTCATAGTCCAGCCACAGTGGTGGGTCATAGCCCAGCCACAGTGGTGGGTCCTAGTCCAGCCACAGTGGTGGGCCCTGGTCCAGCCACAGTGGTGGGTCATAGTCCAGCCACAGTGGTGGGCCCTGGTCCAGCCACAGTGGTGGGTCATAGTCCAGCCACAGTGGTGGGTCATAGTCCAGCCACAGTGGTGGGTCATAGTCCAGCCACAGTGGTGGGTCATAGCCCAGCCACAGTGGTGGGCCCTGGTCCAGCCACAGTGGTGGGTCATAGCCCAGCCACAGTGGTGGGTCATAGTCCAGCCACAGTGGTGGGTCATAGTCCAGCCACAGTGGTGGGTCATAGTCCAGCCACAGTGGTGGGTCATAGCCCAGCCACAGTGGTGGGCCCTGGTCCAGCCACAGTGGTGGGTCATAGTCCAGCCACAGTGGTGGGCCCTGGTCCAGCCACAGTGGTGGGTCATAGTCCAGCCACAGTGGTGGGTCATAGTCCAGCCACAGTGGTGGGTCATAGTCCAGCCACAGTGGTGGGTCATAGCCCAGCCACAGTGGTGGGCCCTGGTCCAGCCACAGTGGTGGGTCCTGGTCCAGCCACAGTGGTGGGCCCTGGTCCAGCCACAGTGGTGGGCCCTGGTCCAGCCACAGTGGTGGGTCATAGTCCAGCTAAGTGGTGGGCCCTGGTCCAGCCACAGTGGTGGGTCCTGGTCCAGCCACAGTGGTGGGTCCTGGTCCAGCCACAGTGGTGGGTCATAGCCCCGCCACAGTGGTGGGTCATAGTCCAGCCACAGTGGTGGGTCATAGTCCAGCCACAGTGGTGGGTCATAGCCCAGCCACAGTGGTGGGCCCTGGTCCAGCCACAGTGGTGGGTCACTGGTCCAGCCACAGTGGTGGGCCCTGGTCCAGCCACAGTGGTGGGTCATAGTCCAGCCACAGTGGTGGGCCCTGGTCCAGCCACAGTGGTGGGTCCTGGTCCAGCCACAGTGGTGGGTCCTGGTCCAGCCACAGTGGTGGGTCATAGTCCAGCCACAGTGGTGGGTCATAGTCCAGCCACAGTGGTGGGTCATAGTCCAGCCACAGTGGTGGGTCATAGTCCAGCCACAGTGGTGGGTCCTGGTCCAGCCACAGTGGTGGGTCCTGGTCCAGCCACAGTGGTGGGTGGTGGGCCACCCTGGTCCAGCCACAGTGGTGGGCCCTGGTCCAGCCACAGTGGTGGGTCCTGGTCCAGCCACAGTGGTGGGCCCTGGTCCAGTGGTGGGGTGTGGTCCTAGCCACAGTGGTGGGCCCTGGTCCAGCCACAGTGGTGGGCCCTGGTCCAGCCACAGTGGTGGGTCCTGGTCCCACCACAGTGGTGGGCCCTGGTCCAGCCACAGTGGTGGGCCCTGGTCCAGCCACAGTGGTGGGTCCTGGTCCAGCCACAGTGGTGGGTCATAGCCCAGCCACAGAGGTGGGTCATAGCCCAGCCACAGTGGTGGGTCATAGTCCAGCCACAGTAGTGGGTCCTGGTCCAGCCACAGTGGTGGGTCCTGGTCCAGCCACAGTGGTGGGTCATAGCCCAGCCACAGTGGTGGGTCATAGCCCAGCCACAGTGGTGGGTCATAGTCCAGCCACAGTGGTGGGTCCTGGTCCAGCCACAGTGGTGGGCCCTGGTCCAGCCACAGTGGTGGGCCCTGGTCCAGCCACAGTGGTGGGCCCTGGTCCAGCCACAGTGGTGGGTCCTGGTCCAGCCACAGTGGTGGGCCCTGGTCCAGCCACAGTGGTGGGTCATAGTCCAGCCACAGTGGTGGGTCATAGTCCAGCCACAGTGGTGGGTCATAGTCCAGCCACAGTGGTGGGTCCTGGCCCAGCCACAGTGGTGGGTCCTGGTCCAGCCACAGTGGTGGGCCCTGGTCCAGCCACAGTGGTGGGTCCTGGTCCAGCCACAGTGGTGGGTGTGGTCCAGCCACAGTGGTGGGTCATAGTCCAGCCACAGTGGTGGGCCCTGGTCCAGCCACAGTGGTGGGTCATAGTCCAGCCACAGTGGTGGGTCATAGTCCAGCCACAGTGGTGGGTCATAGTCCAGCCACAGTGGTGGGTCATAGCCCAGCCACAGTGGTGGGCCCTGGTCCAGCCACAGTGGTGGGTCCTGGTCACTAGCCACAGTGGTGGGTCCTGGTCCAGCCACAGTGGTGGGTCATGGTCCAGCCACAGTGGTGGGCCCTGGTCCAGCCACAGTGGTGGGTCACTGGTCCAGCCACAGTGGTGGGTCCTGGTCCAGCCACAGTGGTGGGTGGGTCACTAGTCCAGCCACAGTGGTGGGTCATAGTCCAGCCACAGTGGTGGGTAGCCCAGCCACAGTGGTCCTGGTCCAGCCACAGTGGTGGGTCCTGGTCCAGCCACAGTGGTGGGTCAGTGGTAGTCCAGCCACAGTGGTGGGTCATAGTCCAGCCACAGTGGTGGGTGTGGTCCAGCCACAGTGGTGGGCCCTGGTCACAGCCACAGTGGTGGGTCCAGCCACAGTGGTGGGTCCAGCCACAGTGGTGGGCCACCCTGGTCCAGCCACAGTGGTGGGTCCTGGTCCAGCCACAGTGGTGGGCCCTGGTCCAGCCACCTGGTCAGTGGTGGGCCCTGGTCCTGCCACAGCCACAGTGGTGGGTGTGGTCACTAGCCACAGTGGTGGGCCACAGTGGTGGGTCCTGGTCCAGCCACAGTGGTGGGTCATAGCCCAGTGGGGTGTGGTCATAGCCCAGCCACAGTGGTGGGTCAGTGGTGGGTCCTGGTCCAGCCACAGTGGTGGGTCACAGTGGTGGGCCCTGGTCCAGCCACAGTGGTGGGTCCTGGTCACAGCCACAGTGGTGGGTCATAGTCCAGCCACAGTGGTGGGTCATAGTCCAGCCACAGTGGTGGGGTGGGTCCAGCCACAGTGGTGGGCCCTGGTCCAGCCACAGTGGTGGGTCCTGGTCCATAGCCACAGTGGTGGGCCCTGGTCCAGCCACAGTGGTGGGTCATAGTCCAGGTCCAGCCACAGTGGTGGGTCATAGTCCAGCCACAGTGGTGGGTCATAGCCCAGCCACAGTGGTGGGCCCTGGTCCAGCCACAGTGGTGGGTCCTGGTCCAGCCACAGTGGTGGGCCCTGGTCCAGCCACAGTGGTGGGTCATAGTCCAGCTAAGTGGTGGGCCCTGGTCCAGCCACAGTGGTGGGTCCTGCAGTGGTGGGTCCTGGTCCAGCCACAGTGGTGGGTCATAGCCCAGCCACAGTGGTGGGTCATAGTCCAGCCACAGTGGTGGGTCCTGGTCCAGCCACAGTGGTGGGTCCTGGTCCAGCCACAGTGGTGGGTCCTGGTCCAGCCACAGTGGCCCAGCCACAGTGGGGCCCTGGTCCAGCCACAGTGGTGGGCCCTGGTCCAGCCACAGTGGTGGGTCCTGGTCCAGCCACAGTGGTGGGCCCTGGTCCAGCCACATTGGTGGGCCCTGGTCCAGCCACAGTGGTGGGTCCTGGTCCCACCACAGTGGTGGGCCCTGGTCCAGCCACAGTGGTGGGTGGGTCCTGGTCCAGCCACAGTGGTGGGTCATAGCCCAGCCACAGAGGTGGGTCATAGCCCAGCCACAGTGGTGGGTCATAGTCCAGCCACAGTGGTCCTGGTCCAGCCACAGTGGTGGGTCCTGGTCCAGCCACAGTGGTGGGTCCTGGTCCAGCCACAGTGGTGGGTCCTGGTCCAGCCACAGTGGTGGGTCATAGCCCAGCCACAGTGATGGGTCATAGCCCAGCCCAGTGGTGGGTCATAGTCCAGCCACAGTGGTGGGTCCTGGTCCAGCCACAGTGGTGGGCCCTGGTCCAGCCACAGTGGTGGGCCCTGGTCCAGCCACAGTGGTGGGCCCTGGTCCAGCCACAGTGGTGGGCCCTGGTCCAGCCACAGTGGTGGGTCCTGGTCCAGCCACAGTGGTGGGCCCTGGTCCAGCCACAGTGGTGGGTCATAGTCCAGCCACAGTGGTGGGTCATAGTCCAGCCACAGTGGTGGGTCATAGTCCAGCCACAGTGGTGGGTCCTGGGGTCCAGCCACAGTGGTGGGTCCTGGCCCAGCCACAGTGGTGGGTCCTGGTCCAGCCACAGTGGTGGGCCCTGGTCCAGCCACAGTGGTGGGTCCTGGTCCAGCCACAGTGGTGGGTCCTGGTCCAGCCACAGTGGTGGGCCCTGGTCCAGCCACAGTGGTGGGCCCTGGTCCAGCCACAGTGTAGTGGACCCTGGTCCAGTCTCAGTAGTGGACCCTGGTCCAGTCTCAGTAGTGGACCCTGGTCCAGTCTCAGTAGTGGACCCTGGTCCAGTCTCAGTTGTAGGAATAACGAACTCGTAACTTTAATTAGAAGCAGAAGTAGGAATTAAGAGGAAATAAGATGTTGGGCATTGCCTTATTGTAGTATCTTATCTTACATTCCATGTGGCCAGGAAGAACCTAAATACATTCATGTATTAGAATAGCTGAAATGTAGTTATATGTAAAGTAATATGTTATATGTATTGTAGCGGTTTAAGCGCCATGACCTGAGGTCGGAATCGGGATTACCAAGTCTAAGAAAATGGGAAGAACTATTTTCTATGGGTGCAATAGACTTACATTGCCTTGATTTCTTCTGGTAATTACCCTACCATCGCGTAAACAGCTGCCAGCACATAGCACCAAATGCAATGTAGGTCCCAGAGTAAAAAATCGCAAAAAGCCAATATGCATGGTAAGGTAACAGAGAAGGACGTGTAGTCAGTGCTAACCTGATCACAAGACAGGCCATCACCGCTGCCACCAAGATCATCTCCAGTTGACGATCTCCGTCGGACTTCGTCAAGAACGTCAAACCATCCTATAAATATTTATATTTTATCCCGAATTTTTGCTCTTAGCTAGTTTTTTTATTTTATTTTATTGAATAATCTTTTCCTGGGAATTTTATATATCTAGGAGAAAGAGGCGCATTTTGTTTCACATTGGTTGTACTAGGCTGCTAGGTCTTGCTGCTGGATTCTGAACGTCGAGGACAGAATCTTATTTTGGGTGTCGTGATCCTCCACTTATTTAATGTTGTCCTAATTTGGCCTTTTGCTGTTCTCGAGGACCATCTCGCTGCCCTTATCTGGCTTCTCTGAAACCAAATTTGGCTTCTTGTTTCTTTTATTTGGCTTCATGTTCTCTGGATTTGGATTCTCGTTCTCATCATTTGGGTTCTCATTCTCCTCATTTGGCTTCTGTTCAGGTTAATTATATTTTGCCGGACAATCAAATGCCAAATGGAGGGCGTAACCGTCTGAAAACAAATTAATTTTTTGTCAAACTGTATCATATCGAGGAAGAGTCAATTACTAGTTACTAGTTAATAGTAATATTGAATTACTGGAACCTGAGAGATATAACCAGGAATCCAGTTGGATTATAAATACCTAATGGCGGATTACAGCCAACTAGGTTGAGCTTCCCAGTGTAAGTTGACTAATAGGATGTAATACAAATAATGTAGATAGCTTAGCCTCTAACATGGCAGCTGCGCCATACTGTTATCCTTCGGGTTAATTGTTAAGTTTATGATTTACTTATTAGTTTCAGTCAAGAAAACTATTGGATGTAATTAGGAATTCATTTTGCTAATCATTGTGAGAGTTGGGTTTTAGTTTCTAACAGAGAATTGAAAAATGCTTTATCATGCATCTGGCAACCTAGAGTGAGCCAGGCCACCACGGTTCCTGTGTAATGTTCTATGGGTTAAATTATGTGTTAATAGGCTTTTGTTAATAGTTAACTCTATTGTGTTAAATGATTATTACTAAATTACTTGCTTAGATCTGCTTAACAGTTCTAAGCAAATGGTTAAGAAGAGGGACTAGTGTTTTAATTACTAACTAGGACCGCGTCCGAACGCATTGTTGCTCGAACACGCTCCCCTGCCCATATAAGCAAGAAGCACCCATGCATCCCTCTGACGGGAGACATCTCCCGTCAGGCAGGGTGCAGTCGCACCTCAACAGATCTCCAGTATAATCTATTGATGCTGGTTCTGGCTCAAAAAGGCCACCACTTACGGGGTATTCATGCCCGTGCCACCTCTTGGGTGGCTTAATCTTTATCAATCAATGCTTCCCTCTGACAGGGTGCAGTCGCACCTCCACAGATCTCCAGTATCAGCTCTTGATACTGGTAATGGCTCAAAAGGGCCACCACTTACGGGCTATTCATGCCCGTGCCACCTTTTGGGTGGCTTAATCTTTATCAATCAATCAATCAATCTTCCCTCTGATAAACACAAGGCAAACTATCCTGTCCAAGCTAAGTGCCCAAATTGCTCCAAGGCACATCTCGCCTGGAACTTGAAATGCCCTGAAAGGCTCAAAAGGCTTCAAACGAACCCCACCACGCCTACAGCAGAGCCGAACACCCCACCAAAACTTATACCAGCTCTTCTGCCCACTAAAACCGCGTGGAGTCTACCAAAACCAATTCAGGTAGAGAGGGCACACGGCCCTTCACCATCGGCCATGGTGAAGGGTGTGAAGGCCTCCGTACAGGACAAAGGGATAGCTGGGGGGGACCACAAGAAACATGTTCAAAGCAGTCGCCCGCCCATTGTATCCAATAAGCACACTGGGGGCAATAACGGTAAGGGTAAGAGTAACAATTCCAGTGTCAAAGTGTCCACTGAGAAAGGTCAAAAAGTAACCAGGCCCCAAACCTACACAGCATTAAATAGTGCTCCCAAACAACTGGACGCTCTCTGGCCAATGCTAAAAACTTTGGTCACGAAATTGGTCGAAAGTCTGCTGCCGATACACGGTGTCAAGCAAACCACAGGGACTCGGAAGACAATTGAGCACAAGCTCAAGAAATTCGAAAATATAATATCCTCACCTTCAAGAACACAGATCAGGGGACACTCCCCTAAAAAACAGTCCAGCTCGTCTGAAAGCGACCTTGATGAGTCAATTTCAGGACAACTAAGATCCTCTACACCAATTGTAACTTCCATGGTGTGTTCATCAGACTCCATGGATACCACGGTAATACCAGCAAATTCCAAGAACCTGGAGGTCTAAAGATCTTGCAATGGAATGTAAAAGGGCTGCGCACAAAATTGCAGCACTTGCAATGCATAACAGCAACCAAAGGCATAGACAACCTGATACTGCAGGAGAGCTTGCTTCGAGCCGGATTAGAACCTAAAATCTCAGGCTATCGAGGCTTCTTCCTTCCATGGATCAATGGGCAATCCAGGGGATGTGCAATCTATGTAAAATGTGACCTGATCTCCAAGTCCATAACCAGCCCACCCGATTGTAGAGTAGGGACAGAGGTAATGGGAGTATCCATTGAGCTAAGACATGACAAACTTGAAGTGTTAAATGTGTACAGGTCTCCACATGCTGAAATGAATTTCTGTGTTATTTGGACATGCGACTTCATCAAACACAATCATTTGTGGAGATTTTTATGCCCATCATTGTTTGGCACTGGGCTCGAACACAACAAATAAGGCCGGCATTCACATTGCACATCTACTAGACCAGCTTCCAGCAATCCAAATCCTAAACAAGAATGAACCCACCCACATCCAAGGAGGCAGATTAGACCTTACAATGCTATGAGAGCCGCACTGGGAGCCCCCATGTGGACCAGGCTAGAAACTTTAAGACTGGAAACGGGTTTGCCCTCTCTTCAAGTCAGAATATCAAAAAGAACATTCACAATTATCAGTAAGATAATTAGTTCTCCTGATCCAATCCCAGTATGGCAGGCCTTGGTGGTTGGACTTGGCCAAAACAATGGAAACTCTTGGGCTGCCTGAGCAGGAAATGTCCTAAACAGACTACATTTAAAAAGCATGATTCTTGATAGAGAGGGCGATCAATCATACCCAAGTTACACTTCTTCCGCACAATGGGAAGAGCCTACTTTCAAAATAGTAATAGAAAGTCTCCCAATCAAAACGACTGCCTATGATCCAACAATCCTAAGGCGCATAATAGAAAAGCAAATGTATAGCATAGCAGTAGCAGGAGCCACCCACATCTTCACAGACGGATTGGTTGACACAGAATATGAGTGTGCTGGCGCTGCTCTTTGCACGGCCAGCGTACAGGCATATTGGAGACTGGGAGGACTAGTATCATCAACCCAAACTGAGCTGTTTGCCATACAACAGGCATTCGCATATGTGATTGCACAAAGCACTCAAAATGCAATTACACACACAGACTCACAAGCTGCACTTCAAATATTAGGACAAAAACAGTGGAAAGATAACGTGGAAATAATTACCACCATTTTGTATCTTGGAGCAGTCGCTAAATGCAAAGGACTCAACATAACCCTAAACTGGATCCCATCCCATGTTGGAATCCCATTAAATGAGAAAGCCGATGAAATTGCAAAATTGGCAACTCGTCATCCAGTGATACATAAAACAATTCAACCCAGGCTAGAGAAAATAAAAAACATCACCAAAAAACTCTTACACCTCAACAAAGCCTACCTGCACCAGAGAGTAATTGAAGGTTCGCCCTCTGCAATATGGTATATTTAGGCAACCAAATTAGAATGGTTAAATATCCCAAAAGGAATCCACAGGGAAAAAGCCGTTAGGTTAAATAGACTTCGTCTAGGTTACAGATGCAACTAGGAGATTGGTGAACCCCGACAGAGAGAATGCATCTTCTGCCAAACTGTCACAGAAAAGCCATTACTTCACTATCTTCTGGAATGTGAAGCATCCAACGACCTTAGAAGAGCTTAAAGAGTCCCTGAATATTGCAGTGGCCACCCTGTAGCCATCAACACAGCCACTCTCCTGGTCAAAAAAGGTGTCCAGCAGCTGGACACCCTCATAAAGACTGTTAAGCAGTATCCTTCCCCCGCGATAGCAGCTTGACGATTAAATGCGACCCAAGAATACTGAAAAAAAATTGTAACACTTACAGGCTATTCATGCTCGTGCCCCCTCTTGGGTAGCCTAATCTTTATCAATCAATCAAAATGCTTCCCTCTCATTCAGTTCTAGGGGCACGGTGGAGATGGTAGTCTGATTTCCAAAGTAAAGCCATGTGTCTACTAGTTTAAGTACAGTGTTTTGTTTTGTGTAAGTAGGATAAGTTTCCAGTGCTTTATTTTAAAGTGTGTGTGTAAACCAATTTCATTGTCTGTTCCAGTGTGTGAAAATCGTATTTTAATTCTTGGTTAATTCTTACCCGTGTCACTGTTCCTTCAGAGCGAGCTACGTGGTGTACTAACTTGTATGTTGATTACTTGTTTATATTGTGTGCGGGATCTGTAAATATACTGGAGATAGGCGGTTCCATCTTTCATTAACCTTTACTATCTAGGCCTCCTGCTTGGAGTGGGGAAACTGATTGGGTTCTATGCTATTCTCTAGCATTATTAAGACAGCCTCGTGACATTTTGGCGACCGTGACAGGACCGCTGATATATTGCCTTGTACTATTATCTGGGAGTATATAAAAGTCCACATTTATTTAATTACTAGCTGTACCCGCCATGCGTTGCTGTGGCTCAGTTTGGGTAAATGGGAATGAAAGAAAAGAGAAAGCGCACGTTTCTAATATGTATAATTTCACAATTCTTGTGGGTTACAATATTTTTTGTTGTTCCATTGTCTTAGGAGATATACAGGTTGTCCAGTTTGCCAACTCTAGAACACGCAACATATAATTGTCCATGTGAGAAGCAATCCGTGTCTAGATATAAACGGCACAATTCTAAAGATTGGCCCTGAGCTTTGTTGATGATGATTGTGAACGCCAATCGAATTGGAAATTACCATATCTTAAATTTAAATGGCATATCTGTTGGAATCATAGGAATTGCGAGGAATGAGGACATCTTCACCTTTGAAAGGGCCTATCAAGATGGTTGCTTCTATGACGTTGCTGATTAATTTTTTTTACTGCAATGAGCGTGGCGTTGCAAAGTTTTGGCTGGTTGGTTATTTCGCAACATGATAATTGGCACGCCGATTTTCAATTGCCGTACGCGTGATAGTATCACTGGCAGATCGAGTGAATTCAAAAATTCTGTTGGATAATTAACCGCTTCATCTGCTTCCACAACAGTGTTGACGGGGTTGTATGTGACTGCCTCGTTTTCAATGTTAGACTGAATAATATTGTTAAGTTCGTAGACGTCTTTGTTCTTGGCCGCAAGAACAGCTCGTTCATTCAGGGAATCGTGATTCTTATAATTGGTTTGAATATTGGGAAATACTTTTTCAACCAATTCATCTTTTGACGTCAATAAATTGTAGAAGTTATGAGGCAATGAAATTCGTCCTGAGGTCAGATCAACCAGCACGTTTCCGTTACCAATTTCCAGAAATTGATGTGAGAATATCTCAGCTGATGGATCGTTTTGCAGCTGGACACGCATATTTGTAGTTAATTTTAACGTCTTTACGTGGCGCCACAAAGTAGAGTATTTCAGGCGAGCATTTATTTCATCCGCTGGTGTCGATCGAGGAATTACAGGTAATGTTTGCCTGAAATCTCCCGCAAGCAATATTAATGCGTTCCCAAATGGTCTGACGTTTCCACGCAAATCTTGCAATGATCGATCAAGAGCCTCGAGCGATTTTTTGTGGGCCATTGTGCATTCATCCCAAACAACAAATTTGCATTTCTGCAATAATTTTCCCATGCCGGATGCTTTGGAAATGTTGCTCGTGGGAGTTTCAATGAACTGTATGTTCAATTGCAATTTCAAAGCAGAAGTAGCAGTTCTTCCACTTGGTGGCAATGTCGCAGATAATCCGGACGACGCAAGAGCTAAGGTTATGCCATTTTGGGATCAAAATGCTGCCAGAATCATTCTAATTAGGAAGGTTTTACCAATTCCTCCTAGCGCATCTAAGAAGATTTCTCCAAGCCCGTTATTGACAGTTTGAATTATTTTATTGTAAATGCTTTTTTGCTCAAGCGTTAGCTTTGGAATATTTGATTGCACAAATGACAACAGATCATCCGTGTTGTAATTTTGTTCACGACGCAATTCTACATCAAACGAAGCAGCAGCAGATCGATACAGTGATGGCATTTTCAATTGATTGAGAACTTTGTTCGCGATTTCTAAGCACAAATCTTCAATCATATCAACGCTTCGTTATAGATTTTCGCTGTGAAATCCATGTTCATATTTGAATTTTCCTCGCGTATTCGATGGATAATATCTTCAGCCATCTGCGATTTATATTTCTCCCATAACTCTGTTGGAGATGAAGGAGAGCTGGTGGTCAATATGATTGCAAACAATGCACGAATTTGATTTGGATGTGACGTGTTGGACGCATATTAATGCATACATCCCAGTGTCGGTCGTTCTCCAATAAATTCAGAGCTTGACATGTACTAAGGAAAGTGGCATGTGTTACGACGATAACAAATCTCAATTGCTGGAAAGACGTTGGACTGGGCACATTTACCAACAGCATGTGAAGAAAGAAGCATTCATCCTGATTGAGATGTATCGTG